TGTATAAATCTGTAGTGCAGGGAAGTCATGGTAGGGTTCGTCCTAGGAAAGGTTGAAGCGAGTGAGTGTAGGCAAATGGCTTTTATGACTTGATGTGCTGTTGGGGTTTCAACAAGGTAACATTTATGAAGGAATTCAAGGAAACTTGTTAACCGGACTTGAATTCTGGAGGTGGAGGTACAGTGCCTGCACTCTGAAGGAGAGGTGGGGATATACAGTTTATAGGGGCATCTGAACTGTAGTATCAACCCGCCCTTGGCAAGACAGTGATGTACTGAGTGATGAAAATTTCTTCTTTATTTTCGGCTCACCCTACCTCGGTGGGAGACGGCCGGTGTGTGAAAAAATATAGAAACGCAGAAATGACAGAGAAATAGAGAGCAGGAGGGTAAAGATAAGGATGGAGGGGGTGAGAAATAGAGAAAGAAAGGGAGAAGAGGAAAGAGGAATGAATGATGGAGGCAGTAGGAATAAGGTGAAGGAGGGTGAGAAAGAGAGAGGCGAAGTACGTGGAAGAGGGAGGAGCGCGATAGAGGGAGAAGAGGTAAAAGGAGAGGTAAAGACAAGCTGTGAGAGGGATAAGAAAGGGATGTTGGTGAAAGAGGTAAGAGGGTGATAGAGGGAGAAGGGAGAGAAGACAAAACCGCCATATGTTACATCAAGCTGTAAGTGTTGTGTACTCCGAAATGTGTTGTGCATAATTATATTAAGTATGGTCATCTAGTCGTAATATTCAGCGTGCACGACTTTGATTGTATTATATAAATCCTGTATTTTTACGTTAAGTGTATCATGTTGCGTAGCATGTATTAAAAGCTGTATGTTATATAAAGTGTATGGTGAAGAGTGGATTGTTTACAAGTTATGTTGTATGTACAGTGTTGCATGTAATATGTTGCATATGTTAGGTTGCATGTGCATTGTTGCTATTATTGTTGTTGCTGACACTGCTACTACTGTTGCTTCAGTTGCTCCTACTGCTGTTGTTGTTGTAATTGCTTCAGCTGTGTCTCTTGTTGCTACTGTTGATGTAACTGTTGACAGATTCTCTTCTACTCTTGCTCATGGGCCTGTGAGGAAGGCATTCTTAAGGATCACAAGGGCAGTAGGGTTATAGTGTGGGAGAGGAGGGTGTCGAACTAGGAAGATAGGGAGAGGGGTGAAGCAAGAGGATGGAAGGGGATAGGGGATACATGGTGGTGAAATTGATACTTAGCCACTTCCCTCTCCCTCATCCAAATCCTCCCTTTGCGGAATAGATATATATATATTATATATATATATATATATATATATATATATATATATATATATATATATATATATATATATATATATATATATATATATATATATATATATATATATATATATATATAATATATTGTGGCGAATAGGTAAAACTTGCTATATTGGCTTAAATAGCAACGCTCCTCTTGCAGAATTAGACAACCGAAAATTTGTGTATGCAATAATTTCACAAAAATCATTCTGATCCTAACAAAAAAAATCTTTCATGGTATTTGTTTATTATTATTAAACTATTGTAAACTTATCTAAAATATATTTAATTCGATTAGGCTAAATTAAATTGCGCTTGTTATAATAAGGTTAGGTAAGTTTTCAAAGGTTCTTGTGGTACACACGTGTGTGTGTGTGAGTGTATGTGTGTGTCATGTAGAGAGAATGGATCGAAACAGAATGACTTCGGGAGTGTATAACTCTGTAGTGGAGGGAAGGCGGGGTAGGGGTCGACCTAGGAGAGGTTGGAGGAGGGGGTAAAGGAGGTTTTGTGTGTGAGGGGCTTGGACTTCTAGCAAGCATGCGTGAGCGTATTTGATAGGAGTGAATGGAGACAAATGATTTTTTAATCCTTGACGTTCTGTTGGAGTGTGAACAAAGTAACATTTATGAAGGGATTCAGGGAAACCAGCAAGCCGAACTTGAGTCCTGGAGATGGGAAGTACAGTGTCTGCACTCTGAAGGAGGGGTTTTAATGTTGCAGTTTTATAAACTGTAGTGTAAAGCACCCCTCTGGCAAGACAGTGATGGAGTGAATGATGATGAAAGTTTTTCTTTTTCGGGTCATCCTACCATGGTGGGAATCGGCCGATGTGTTAATAAAATAATATATATATATATATATATATATTATTATATATATATATATATTATATAATATAATATATAATTATATATATATATATTTATATATATATAATATATATTATATATATATATATATTATATATGCAATAAGATCACAGTAAACAGGTGATTGCAGAATATGCAAAACAACCACTGGGAAAGAATAGCGAAATTCCAAGCGTTTCGTGACTTCTCACATTATCAAGGGGACTACGCGGGAATGAAGAACTTGTTTAATGGGGTTCAGTGGGGCAGAGAACTGGCAGGGAAGTCAGTATACGAGATGATGGAATAAGTGACAACAGTATGCAAGGAAGCTGAGGAGAGGTTTGTACCCAAGGGTAACAGGAATAATGAAAAAGCCAGGATGAACCTGTGGTTCACCCAAAGGTGCAGAGAGGCCAGAACCAAGTGTGCTAGGGAATGGAAGAAGTATAGAAGGCAAAGGACCCAGGAGAATAAGGAGAGCAGTTGGAGAGCCAGAAATGCATATGCACACGTAAGAAGGGAGGCCCAACGACAGTATGAGAATGACATAGCAGCGAAAGCGAAATCTGACCCGAGGCTGTTGTACAGCCACATCAGGAGGAAAACAACAGTCAAGGACCAGGTAATCAGGCTAAGGAAGGAGGAGAGATCACAAGAAACGATCATGAAGTATGTGAGGAACTCAACATGAGATTCAAAGAAGTGTTCACAGAGGAGACAGAAGGGACTTCAGAAGGACGGAGAGGCGGGGTACACCACCAAGTATTGGACACAATACATACAACCGAGGAAGAAGTGAAGAAGCTTCTGAGCGAGAAAGACACCTCAAAGGCGATGGGGCCAGAAAACATCTCTCCTTGGGTCCTGAGACAGGGTGCAGATTCGCTATGTGTACCCCTAACAACAGTATCAACACATCTGTCGAAACAGGGAGATTACCTGTGGTATGGAAGACAGCAAATGTAGTCCCAGTTTTTAAAAAAGGAGACAGACAAGAAGCACTAAACTAGAGGCTAGTGTCACTGATGTGTATAGTATGCAGAGTCATGGAGAAGATTATCGGGAGAAGTGGTGGAACACCTAGAAAGGAATGAGCTTATCAACAACAGCCAACATGGTTTCATGGACGGGAAATCCTATGTCACAAATCTACTGGATTTCTATGACAGGGTGACAGCAGTAAGACAAGAGAGAGAGGGGTGGGTAGATTGCATTTTCTTTGACTGTAAGAAGGCGTTTGACACAGTTCCACACAAAAACTGGAGGACCACACAGGGATAACAGGGAAGGCACAACAGTGGATCATGGAATACCTGTCAGGAAGACAGCAGTGAGTCATGGTACGTGGTGAGGTGCCAGAGTGGGCGCCTGTGACGAGTGGGGTTCCACAGGAGCCACCCCTAGAACCGGTGCTGTTTCTGGTATTTGTAAACGACATGACGGAAGGAATAGACTCCAAAGTGTCCCTGTTTGCAGATGATGTGAAGTTGATGAGAAGAATTCAATCGGACGAGGACCAGGCAGAGCTACAAAGGGATCTGGACAGACTGCAGGCCTGGTCCAACAAATGGCTCCTGGAGTTTAACCCCACCAAGTGCAAAGTCATGAAGATTGGGGAAGGGCAAAGAAGACTGCAGACAGAGTATAGTCTAGGGGGGCCAGAGACTACAAACCTCACTAAAGAAAAAATATCTTGGGGCGAGTATGTCACCAGGCACATCTCCTGAGGCGCACATCAACCAAATAACTGCTGCAGCATATGGGCGCCTAGCCAACCTAAGAACAGTATTCCGACATCTTATTAAGGAATCGTTCAGGACCCTGTACACCGTGTACGTAAGGCCCATATTGGAGTATGCGGCACCAGTTTGGAACTCACACCTATCCAAGCACATAAAGAAACTAGAGAAAGTGCAAGGTTTGCAACAAAACTAGTCCCAAAGCTAAGGGTTATGTCCTATGAAGAGAGGTTAAGGGAAATCGACCTGACGACACTGGAGGACAGGAGAGATAGGGGGGACATGATAACAACATATAAAATACTGAGAGGAATTGACAAGGTGGACAGAGACAGAATGTTCCAGAGATGGGACAAAGCAACAAGGGGTCACAGGGATATTAGGCAGTATTTCTTCAGCCACAGACTTGTCAGGAAGTGGAATAGTCTGGGAAGTGATGTAGTGGAGGCATAATCCATACATAGCTTTAAGAAGAGGTATAATAAAGCGCATGGAGCAGGAAGAGTGACCTAGTAACAACCAGTGAAGAGGCGGGGCCAGGAGCTGTGACTCGACCCCTGCAACCACAGCTAGGTGAATGCAACTAGGTGAGTACACACACACACACACACACACACACACACACACACACACACACACACATACACACAAACAAACAAACGAACCTGTTAAGGATATGAAATTATGAATGTAGTTTTGCGACTCAAGTACTGAATAGATTAATAGTTAAACCAAAATCCATGGAGATCCATGAATAGCGTATGTATTTTGCCTGGTTATATAATATATATGCATACAGGTTATGCAGAGGAAATGGGAAGAAACATGTAATAAAGAGAAGAACTAGCTAGAGAAAAAAGTAGAAAAGAGATCTGTATATTTCAGTCTTAGAAATAGAAATATGCAGGTATATATCAGTATTCGTTGTAAAACGTACATTTGAAAGTTTTTACTTAATACCTTTTTATCGGTCGCCACACGTAATGCATGACATACCTCAGCTTGAATGGGGAATTCAAATTTCATTGTAATAATATTGTTATTAGGTGCTTGCATCTAGAATCTCAAGAGTGATGCTCTGTTTAAACTTGTTTTTTTTATTTAAGGATTAAGGATATGAAACTATTTATGTGCAATGCCTTTTATATAGAATATATACATCCAGGTACTTTTCCAAATAATGGGTTAACTATTAGGCTTCAAAGCCATTTACCCCTCTGAGGTCATTTGGACGGCCAGCGTATAAAATAAAGGCACAGATGACGAACAGTTTACATACACATGGAGTCATCATATACATATACACAGATATAGCTACCTATCTGTCACCTTCAACAAATATTTCAGGAGTCGTGGCACTCTCCCTACGTGATAAAGACTACCAAAGGAATCCTTGGCCACCCCTGTGTTTCTTGATTGTAAAGAGCTTCACAGTTTACCACCGTGTTGCAGGGCTCTGTATGATATAAAACAATGTGTGATAAGTTATGATGCTCTACTGTCACTTCTGGTCACATGCTCACATGCCATGGCATGACATTATAAACCACATTTTACAGTTGAGGGAATATTATTGTAAACACAAACATTACATGCAATAGTATGACAATGTAAACAACACTTCACATGATGGCATGACAATACCATCATGAGACATGGCCTGATATGGCAAAAACAAACGTGACAAGTGAAGGTATGACAATGTAAACATGACAGGTGGTAACATGACAAGGTAAACACAAACATGACAGGTGATGGCATGGCAAGGTAAACAGATATGACATCATGGCGCAGTAAGGTAAGCAAACATGACAGGCGATGGCATGACAAGGATAAACATAAACATGACAGATGATGGCATGACAAGGTAAACAAATATGGTAGGTGATGGCATGACAAGGTAAACACAAACATGGCAGGTGATGGCATGTCAGGGTAAATACAAACATGATTGGTGATAACATGAGAATGTAAATAAACATCACACGGGATGGCATGACAAACACGTGAAGCTTAATGCTGCCCTTGAGTTCTTTGTTTTTTTTTTATTTGTTTAGCATGACATACACTTCGTTATTCACTGCTTAGGCCATCATAAAATACAAAAGATTTTAATCGCGTGGCATTTCAACTCATCTGAATTATACATTATGAAACCCTTTCTATTTATTGATAACGTCTTTCTGTTTCATCCGGGTTTAAGAAGAAAAAGGCCACATGTATAAGTTACAAAGACCAAAGCATGTAACTAGCATTGGGAGGAAGGAAATTTACAATATAAACTATGTACAACTAATCTCGACCTCTGCATCCATTGCTGACAAATATGATCATAAATTACTGTGACAGCTTGCATATTTGACAGTACTTTTTGCATGATAATAATAACTTTTGATGATTATGTTGCATACAAAGAAGACGGAAATTAAGTTACAGATATCAAAACTATTGCAGTGTTCTGAATAACCATCTACTTTCAAAATAGACTATCGAGTTAAAAATTCGTTTACTCTAATGGAGGTGTTTGGTATTTCTTGAAATACCGTAGCAGAAATTTCCCTGTGAGTTTTTGGTGTTTCACAGACCTATATTCGTCTTGGCATAATGTTACCCAGTGATATGTAATAACCTATAAAGAATCTGTTGTCCTAGCTAGCTTATGGCTACAAATTTCCCATCATAATCTTCTAAGGATTTAGTAAGACATCAGTAGTATAACAACCATCAAAAAATATTTGTTTCACAAGACTTAGCGCAGATGTTAAATGCCATTAAACCTTCTCTGAAACTATCGTCTGATGTACGAAATTTTAATTTAAAATTAACATTGATCATATGCTATAAATCTTGCCACTGGATATCAGAATAAAGGCGATTACAAAATTAAATACAATATTTTCTGAAAGGCACATTAATATAGTGGATAACAACAGTGGCTGATTAGTTAATGGGTTTTAAAGCCTATCGACTATATGAGAGTCATTAAGGCTGCACGGTAACCTTTCCATCATCAAACAAGAATAATTTAATCCCTAAAATAAGGATTAAAGTAAACTCTCAGTATATATATGCTGAGAGAAATACACCTCATGGTGTATATATCAATATCCTGTGATACAATAATGATTACATTCTGATCTCTTAAGAATTCGCCCTTTATCCAAGAAAAACAGTGAAATGTTACTATGAAAATCAATGGTATTCCCTTTTTTTTTTTATTTTGCACCAAAGCTGGCATAGCATCCTAGTCTAACTGTGCTAAAATTTATGTAAACTGTAATATTAAATTTACGCAAACTAAAATAATAATAATTAATAATAATAATAAAACAATAATAACAAAGTTGACATAACCTATCCAAAAATTTGCATAATTATATTTAAAAGTTTTCCTTAGGACGAGGGTGAATCTCAAGTTGATCCTTACATTCAGCACGGTGGGTGAGATAATGTCCTTTGTTGGTGTCATAAGACATGAAGAATCCACTACAAAATATTGCAGTGACAGTACTCCACAAGTTGGACATTTCCCAAATAAACTTTTAAGGATTTGTTTTTAGCATATCAGGGGTTACTTTCATTGACACTGATGAACCATAAGTGTGTGTTTCATGGTTACTCCCTTAAGCGGGTGTTTTCTACGAAATCATTGAGGTTAAGGCACTTTACTTAAGGCATATTTAAAATAAGTTGGACATAGTGGACAAATATCTTTTATACAATTTTATTACACACGACACATATGCCAAGTCCTGAATATGATAGTTTGATGTTGAGAGAGTTTAAATGCACATAGAAGTTTGCACTGACTTCCTAATATCTTTATTGGGGAGGGCTGGTGTTGCGCATAAACCTTTCTCCAACATACCAGAAATTACTTTCCTTCGTGAAAGGCGAAAAGGTGAACTTGTCTCATTTAAACACGGGCTCTTCTTGAGTAATTTCTGTATATTTTGGTGTCATAGAAAACTAAACTAAAACTGCAAGGATGGAAAGATTTAGCCCTAATGGACAGGGCCTAAAATGGCGCGTTCACACCTTAGCTTTCAGAGGTAACTCTGAATTGCCGAGAGGTGTCATCAATCCCTTTTAAGGAAAACGTAAAATATGATAAAACGCACTGCATCAGGTTGCAGTTTTCTGCAAAATGTTTCCGAGATGTGATATCAAATAATAGTAATGATATTATTTTCTTGTCATTGTGGAGGTCGCTAGGTTCTGAAAGCTTACTACGTGGGCCAAAGGATTAGGTTCTGAAGTCTCCAGCATGTGAGGATGGGGAACTGTGTCCCAGGAGCCATCATTGCCTGAGTAGCTGTTATGTCCGTCTGACCAGACCACTTGGAGTGTTCACGAATAGCTGGACCAGTCCACCTGGAGTGTTCACCACCAGCTGGACCAAACTACATGGAGCGTTCACCACCAAATGGACCAAAACACCTGGAACGTTCATCACCAGATGGACCTGACCACCAGGAGCGTTCACTGCAACTTGATCAAACCATCTGGAGTGTCAGATCATCACCAGTTTGACCAAGCCACATGGCATATCCATCCGCCACCAGCTTGACCAGACCACTTGGTACCTCCTGCTTCACCAGTCAACTCATTTTTGTGGGATGAATTGTTTATAGTAGTTATGTGGTTCTGCCCATTCTCGTAGTCGTCGAACAAACACTCCATGGCACCTCCAGTTCTCCACAGTGTACATCTTAGGCGTATCATCTGAAATATTGAGACACAGTTATATTAATTTTTGAAAGAGGGAAACATCGATAATACATCCACACAGCTTGTAGCATTAATGTATCAGTCATGGAGGAAAATGAATGTATCACTTATGGATGAGGCAGTTTGTATCAGGTACGGAGAAAACACCTATGAATGAGCATGTTTAAGAAGCAACTAGAGTGAGTTGGTCTAATAATACTGCTGGTGTTGGGTGTCACTCCAGAGCTGGGTATCACCAGTACCACTCCAAAGCATGATGTCACTAATGTCACTCCAGAGCTGGGTATTAATGGTCCAGCTCCACTGCGGAGATTATTAGCTGTTACCATGGACACATACAGTAATCCATCTTCTTAAAGTCAGCATCGATTTCTTACATATGATTTTAAACTAATTAATCGATATACGTTATTTAGATTAAGTTAGGTTGTCGTCTATTAGCAAACGTTAACTAATTATAATCTACCATAAAGACAATAAATACAGTAATGTACAAAGGCGATAAAAACTTTTAGATCAGGAACATAATACGGAGACCCATCGAATGGACTGTAAAGTAAACTGTCAAGTAATCACGTTTTCATCATTGTATGACATTACACATCCAATATTTTCAACCAAAGTGGAATACTGACATTGCTTAGAAAGATGGGCTACATATAGAGATGGACGTTTCACAGACCTGTTAGAGCTTGGAGTCTGGCCAGTATGGGTAGTAGGAGAGGGAGGTGAGTTGCGAGGAGTTGGCGGTCTCTCCCTGACGACGACTAGCGCTCAAACCCGAACCGTAGCCACCGCTACCCCCGCCGCCTGTGAATGAAGTGTTGTCAGCCGCAAATTGAAAAAGGTAATATATATAATAACTTCAGAAACAAGAATTCAAGTATAGACACCGTGGTAGCGTTTTTTCCCATTTGTTATTGAGGAAAACTTGCACATTATGGCCCGGAAGGTATTTGTAAAAATTTATACAAGACAGAGGAACTTGAAATTTGTAAAGGTCATGGGGACCAAATTGGTTTGCCAACGCACTACCTAAATATACCCGTAGTTATTAGTGTGAAAATAAAAAAATCAACATAATTGAATTTACTGCTTTTTTTTTTAACACGTCGCCCGTTTCTTACCGAGGCAGTGACCTAAAAAGAAAGAAAAACCCAAAAAGAAAGAAAAAACTTTCATCATCAATCAACACTTTCACCATCACTCATACATAATCACAGTCTTTGCAGAGGCGCTCAGATACGACAGCTTAGACGTCCCTCCAAACTGCCAGTATCCCAAACCCCTCTAAAGTGCAGGCGTTGCACTTCCCATTTCCAGGACTCAAGTCCGGGTAACCAGTTTCCCTGAATCCCTTCACAAAATCTTACCCTGCTCACACTCCAACAGCTCGTCAGGTCCCAAAAACCATTCGTCTCCATTCACTCGTATCTAACACGCTCACGCGCGCTTGCTGGAAGTCCAAGCCCCTCACCCACAAAACCTCCTTTACCCTCTCCCTCCAACATTTTCGAGGACAACCCCTACTCCGCCTTCCTTCTCCTACAGATTTATATGCTCTTCAAGACATTCTACTTTGTTCAGATTCTAAATAACTAAACCACCTCAACAACCCCTCTACAGCCCTCTGGATAATAGTTTTGGTAATCCCTCACCTCTTAATCTCTAAACTACGGATTCTCTGCATTATATTCACACCACACATTGCCCTCAGACATGACATCCCCACTTCCTCCAGCCTTTTTCCTTGTTGCAGTATTCACCACCCATATAAGTGCGTTGGTATAGCTATACTCTAATACATTCCTCTCTTTGCTTCCATGGATAAAATTCACTTTTTTCTCCTCGTCACCTCTATGGTTAACTTCATCCTTCATAAACCCATCCACTGACAGGTCAACTCCTAATATCTGAAAACATTCACTTCTTCCATATTCCCTCCCTCCAATGTGATATCCAATTTTTCTTTTTCTAAATCGTTTGATACCCTCATCACTTTGGTTTTATCTCTGTTCACTTTCAACTTTCTTCCTTTACACACCCTCCCAAACTTGTCCACTAGCCTTTGCAACTTTTCTTTAGAATCCCCCAAAAGCAGAGTATCATCAATAAAAAGTAACTGTTTCAAGTCCCATTTTGTATTTGATTCCCCATAATTTAATCCCACCCCTCTTCCCAACACCATAGCATTAACTTCTTTTACAACCCCATTTATAAATATGTTAAGCAACCGTGGTGACATTACACATCCCTGTCTAAGGCCTACTTTCACTGGGAAGTAATCTCCCTCTCTCCTACACACCCTAACCTGAGCCTCACTATCCTCATAAAAATTTTTTACCGGATTTGGTAACTTACTACTTATTCCATACACTTGCAACATCTGCCACATTCCTTCCCAACCCACTCTATCACAAGCCTTTTCTAAATCCATAAATGCAATGAAAACTTCCCTACCATTATTTAAATACTGTTCATATATATATTCTTTATTGTAAACACTTGATCTGCACATTCCCTACCAATTCTAAAGCCTCCTTGCTCATCTGCAATCTTGTTTTTTGTCTTGCCTCTAATTCTTTCAATAATAACCCTACCATACACTTTATTTGGTATATTCAGTAAACTTATTCCCCTATAAGTTGCTTTAACTTAATTTAGAACCCAGCTCTGCCTATAGTATGCCACTGCCACCCATCCCAGAATGATTCATAACAGTTGACTAACAAGTACCTATTTACTATTAGGCGAACAAGAGCAGCAGACGATACTTGGCTTATCCTGTCTGGGAATCGACCATGAGTTCCATTCAGCTAAAAGGGTTATAGTTGAGTGAACAAAATGCCAGATAGTGTTCCTGAAGCAAATACTTTAGGCTTCCAGTATATTTGCCAGATATACACTAAACTCATCCTTACATTCTTTTGGGACACATTTATCTTCACTTATGGACCTCTTTTTTATTTTAATAATAATTCACTAATGGACCGGGCCACGGAGGCGTTGACCCTTTGGAACACCCTCCAGGTATACTTTTTTTTTAATCTCATAAAAGTCTTTAGATATTACTCCTACTTATTTATCATTATTCTTCTGTGAAAGTTTGTTCATTTACCAAGGACCGTCCACTCTCCGTGGTGAAGGTTGAAAAATTAGCACTTGTAAGGTCTTATCACAGTCTGTTGTTAAATCCCTGATAATATGGAAACAGTTATCGATTACTTGTAAGAACTCTTCCAGAAGTCAGCATTTCATATTTTATTTGTCCATATTATATTACTGAAATATGTCTGGTATAATGCAAACGTTATTATACTCCAGTGAACTAAGTTTGTAAATAACACACTGTATTATACAGAGCAAATCAATAAGAGGGGGGGGGGGGTTGGATTACATTATACTTTACGTGAAAGCGCTAAATCCGTGTGGGTGATATTGCTGCATACCACCTAAATTTAACTGAGAAATAATACAAATTATTAATCTTTTAGAAAATAAGATTGCTACATCGTTACCAAATTCCAGCTGAAAAGAAATGCTTGTATAATGAATATATATATATATATATATATATATATATATATATATATATATATATATATATATAAATATATATAGTAATATAGAATAATATATATATTATTAATAAAGATTGGATAAAAATTTAAGCACAAGACAAAGTGAGAAAGCAAAATATTTAAAGAGGTATTTGGAGAGAAGGAGGGAAAAGTGGAGATAAGAGAGGAGAAAAGTGAGACAGCTGGAGGCCAGGAAGATATAAGGGTAGGGATTGGATGAAGGGAAAGTGTGATGAGAAGGCCAATATGGGAAGAGAAGTTGGTTGTGGTTGAATGTAATTAGCGCGCTTAGGTAGACTTTAGTCAATGACTCGCTTCTGGACATAAATTGATGTTACAGTAGCTTCAAATTGTCATGGTGGAAGTAGAAGTTTTGTGTTGATTTTAATTACTCAGCAGGCATTGTTGGTAGACATCTTTTGTCAGATGATTGGGTGTCCAAATTCAGGGCAAACCATTAAAATATGTGCCCCAATCAGAGACAAAATGCAAGCTGCACAGAGGAGCAGTAGGATTATGGGCATGCAAATAACCATGGATCACGTATGTCCTTGCACCAGGGAAAACACGCTCAGTACTGCTGAGCGTTTGGTGTTTAAGGATTGTTGGTCCAGTGGATAGAGGGACGCATACTTTGTTCAGTTCTCACAGGGCTGGGCATGGGAATGCAGGATCGAGTCCTGGCCAGCTGCAGTTCTGTTAATGATTCAAAATCACTTGTTTCGTGATTTAATATATAATATATATATATTATATAATATATATATGATAGAATATTATAGTGTGGTGTGGTGTGTGGTGTGTGTGAGGGCAATTGTGGTGTGAATATAATGCAGAGAATCGTAGTTTGGAGATTAGGAAGTGTGGGATTACCAAAACTATTATCCAGAGGGCTGAGGAGGGGTTATTGAGATGGTTTGGATATGTAGAGAGAATGGAATGACTTCGAGAGTGTATAAATCTTTAGTGGAGGAAAGGTGGGGTAGGGGTCGGCTTAGGAAAGGTTCAAGGGAGGGGGTAAAGGAGGTTTTGTGTGCGAAGGGCTTGGACTTCCAGCAAGTGTGCCTCTGGCAAGATAATGATGGAGTGAATGATGAAATTTTTTTTTCGGGCCACCCTGCCTTGGTGGGAAACGGCCGATGTATATATATAATATTATATATATATATATATATATATATATATATATATATATATATATATATATATATATATATATATATATATATATATATATATATATATATATATATATTAGCAAGAACTCATTTAAAATTAAGTCCTTTCTAAAATTTTCTCTTATACGTTTAAAGATTTTTTTTCATTTATGTTAATGTAAAAATTAATAATTTTATACCAGAAGAACCTTAGAAAAACTTTATTATAACAAGCGCAATTTAATTTAGGCTAATCCAACTAAATATATTTTAGATAAGTTTACAATAATTTAATAATAAACAAACACAATGAAATATGTTTTGTTTCATTAGATTCAGAATGATTTTTGCGAAATTATTGCATACACAAATTTTCCCTTAACCTCTCCTCGTAGGACCTGCCCCTTAGCTCCGGGACTAGTCTTGTTGCAAACCTTTGCACTTTCTCTGATTTTTGTACGTGGTTGGCTAGGTGTGGGTTCCAAACTGATGTTACATACTCCAATGTAGGCCTGACGTACACAGTGTACAAGGTCCTTAACTATTCCTTATTGAGATGTCGGAATGCTATTCTTAGGTTTGCTAGGTGCCCATATGTTGCAGCAGTTATTTGGTTAATGTGCGCCTCAGGAGATGTGCCCGGTGTTATACTCACCCCAAGGTCCTTTTCCTTGAGTGAGGTTTGTAGTCTCTAGACTGTGTTTGTGTCTGTATATATGTATGTTGGGGACCCGTTCTTTCTCTGTGAGGTCTTTTGAGTAATTTTTTTTATATCCAAGTTTAACTTACCAAAGGAGGGTTGGAGGGGCGCTGCGGAAGGGGACCCCAGACTGCTACTAGACCCTAGGAATCCACCCGCACCAAGCCCTGAGGAGAGGCTAGACCCTGATCCTGAGGTCCATAGGGGAGGAGCTGAACCTAGGGTGCCGGGAGTGCTGCCAGGGGAGGATATGGAGGGCGAAGAACCACCCAGGATGCCTCCTCCCAAATGACTGGGAAGACCTGACCCGAGCGCTCCTGAGGAAGAAAAATCAGTTTATTTCTACAGGTACATGATACAACAAATATAGACCTAGCTGACATCAATGATATCTATAAAGAAAGGTTAATTTTGTCCCCAGGATGTGACCCACACCAGTCGGCTAATACCTAGGTACCTATTTACTGCTAAGTGAGCAGGGACAGCAAATGTCTTAAGGAAACACGCGCTGTTTCCACCCGTACCGAGGGGTCGAACCACGGACCTCAGTGCGTGAGCTGAGTGCGCTACCAACCGTGCTACGGGACACTATTAATTAATATTGTAAACTATGCTATACGTATGATCAATTTCGAGGATTTTTCCTCTCACTGGCCTGGAGCTTGGTTTGTCTGCTAATTGCATGCTGAATCGAGCTGTTGCTATTGGTGACATGTTGGCCCACATTATCATCACAGCCTGGTTTATCTAGTATTTGGCAGAGATAGTGATTCAGATTCATCTTGAAAACTAATACACTTTTACAGGCAATATTTCTGATATCTACTGCATGGGCCTCGGATGTTGGCACAGCATCCTCTTAATGTGCCTATTAGGCCCTTATTTTTTCCCCTGGGTCTGTTTTGTACACCCTCAGTGCGGTGTTATGGTTATGTGTAAATTTAGGACCAGGCTCTCAAGTGTTTATTGTGAATATATAATACATTCCAATATATATATAATGCAGTCCAGTGCATTCCATCTAATACTTTGACGCATTCCTAGTAGTTTTAATGCTTAATCGACTCTGTGCGGGTAGTGAACGATCTCTACATTTTCCAACTCCAGTATCGCTTCCACCGTGAGCAGAGCCGTCAACACCAAATAATATTCCAGACGTAACAGCACGACTGATCTGAGTAGTGTCTCCATTGTACATCTCCAGTTCTTATCTAACCTATTGGTATGACTGACTTCCACTTGTGGATCCTGTGATGCAGCCTCCATCTACTTTACTTCACCTGTTTTCAGTGTGCATATGGCGTACTTTTTTTAAGACTGATGAACTGAACACGTTATCTCCAAGCTGAGGAACTGATTATCTCAAACTACTTCACATCTTTATATTTTATATTTTCCTTGTATTGGTAAGTACTTATATAGCCACTGGTTGGCGAAACGTTTCCACAATAAAGATTACCAAATGATGCTTAAGTGTCATCCATCTACTACTCGGTTTTCTAACTCTTGGATTTATTGCATTTTATTGAGAAGACGTTTCGTCCAGCAGGAACTTTTATCAAATCTCATAAGATGGGTAAGAAGAGCATATATGATGTGAGGTCTTGAGATGGGTTGAAACTTTAAGTTTAAAATTGCATGGTCCAGTAAGCCGACTTCATTACTTCTCCTTATAGTCATATGTAATATCAGTGTCATAACTGGTAAGAAGAAGGTTGGACATTGTTTCTGAAATTAGGGATGAACATGATTTTTTGTTTCTGAAATTAGGGATGAACATGATTTTTTGTGATAGTGCTAGTCGTGGCAATGACAGCAAATTTAAAGCACAGTCGGTTCCGTCTGTTTGCTTCATTGCTAGCTAGTGTTCCGGAAAAGAAATTAACAGATGGTTCTCTGTTGCAGTGAATAATACAAGGATTATTCGTGTCATCTCTCTGGCAGACACTTCTGTATTCGTTGATCCTTGTCTTCATATCCCCTAGAAGTTTCACGTACGCAAACCTTATCACAACCTCCACTTGGTATCACGTAGACGCCGGTGTCTGCAGTGTTTCCTCTCAGTGCTTGGACAGTGTCAGCGTCTCGGGGAACGAGTGCATCTTCGCTGGCGATCATTCTGATAACCCCAACTGTCAACTGTGTTACCTTCATTTTTCTCCTCACCTAGTCTCTGATTTTCTCACTATCAGTGGAACGACTGTTGGGGCTGTCTTTTGTTTTCTTTTGTGTTGATGGGGAAGGCGAATCAAGACAGCTCTGGGATCCTTTTAATGATTTGATGACCGACAAGGCTAGCAATTTGCCGTCTTTAACGGCACGGCTCAGCAGACATTACCAAACATTAACGAGTTGGACTATGCTTTGATAATGTTAGGAACATCTAGGATAGTGGAGTCTTCATCGGCTTGCTTCAGGAGGTTGTAAATTTTCCCTCTACTTATGGACGGGCTTCTTTTGGAACACACGGAATAGTGTTGTTGTTTTTTTCTTTTATTGTGTTTATGATATTTGAAGGGATGAGATTAATTGGAATTTGCTGAAAGTGCTTCAGGTGGTTGTGGATCATCATTTTCCAAGTGAGGACATCCTGAACCAGAGCAGTTACCAATTTCTCAGAGGAAACTTTTACTGTTGAGGCGACAAACCTGTAAACATTAGCGACACTTTCCTTTCCTAACATTGCTAGCTGTGCCGTTTTCTTAGCTGCCATCTTCCTCCTGAGTAGCATCCATCCAGTTAATTAAGGCGTGTGGACAAGATTCGAACTGCTTCGTGAAAGAAAGGATGTGGAAGGGGTTCAAAAATATTGATTGTAGGAGTTGCGTTAATCAGAAATATTGACAGATGCTGGAAGGATATAGCAACGCTTAGAGAATATTACCAAAATACTGTACAGTGAAATTACTAGCATACAATTAAGATTAACTAAACAGTACTAACGCCACTCTTGATATCAAGCATCCGTTTACGAAGTCATTTACTGCACTAACTTAAAACTGCTGATGGTTACTGCTTACCTGAGGGCAGCGGTGCTGACCCTAGCCCAGCGGTGCCCAGGGATCCTCCTAGCTGCTGGTACCCACCACTCAATTGCATCTGCCCCTGCAACTATGGAGAAAGGTGCTATGTAAATTACACAAGTCGCGTTTTTATTTTGACACCGCCGCAAGAATAGCCGTTGACCTGGTGATCTAATTGCAAATACAGTTCTTTAGTGGTTGCGCTTGTTGTTCAAAGTGAATTGATTTCATTGCTATGAATTGACTTCATTACTGGTTGAAGCTTATTAATCTGAACTGGCGTAACTAATTGTTAAAGTCGGTTACCAACTGCTTCCACTCTTGAAAGTTGTCAAAAAGTGATGTCATTACCTGTTGCAGTCTTTCTTATCCCTAGGTAAAGTCACTGCATATAATTTCATTGGTCCTCGCCAACACGACAATTAAGAGTTCC